CACACACACACACACACACACCACACACACATGAGTATAAATATTATCAAAATATACACGTACAGTTTAATACTTTTACGCGTGTATACATATATTTAATCATATTTATAAATATAATCACAAATTAAACATTTTATAATTTTTATATTTTTATTCATTCAGATAAAGTAATAAACATATTTTAAATAGCATATTTTAAATACGATTATCACAAAGTGAATATTACCGTGCATTATCGACAAACATGTTTAAAGTGTTAAACAAATAATTGTGCATAATGGATTACCTGTGCAGTAGAGCCATCAGTATGGCAATAGGGCTAGCGGTGGAGACACACAATAATAAAATGTAATAAAAATATGTAATAAAAGATAATATTGTGAAATGAAATGTTGGACGATTGCTCATAGTGCACTTGGCATATTACAAAGTAATGATAATTTTTGTCGCACTGCGATTTCTTTTTGTATGGTATATACCTATACTAAATAAATTCTCTCGCCTTTAATATCCTACATATACATTGCACATGTATATATATTTCTTTTTATCATATATACAGATTCGATCGAGTTCCAAACTTGGCGACATAAAAAAATATTGTATCTTTAAGATTTATTATTATACTTCACATAAATAACTGTGGAAATCAAGATATATTACGGACTATAATTAAGGCAAAATGACAATTAAATAATTTGCAAAAGTGACCGGTATTACATGGTGCATGAATGGTAAATCACGTGCTTGTGCTTTGCTGTGCTCGATCGCAATTTGCAATTGGTGTGTACATAGGTGAGAATGAAAGACAGACGTGCATTTTTGCTTACTACTGACGAGGAACTTACTTTTCGTTCTCTTCCTTGTGCATTCTTTGCGCTTCTCTCTTATCGAATCCATCTGTTACTAGAGCATCTAAGACAAGTGACTGCACTAGTTTCTTGTCACCTGGAATGTGACAATCGTAATTATTAAAATGACATTCACTTATACTATAAGACTTATAATCAAACTATTTGAAATCAAACTGTTTAAAAAGCTATACTGATATTGCTTAAAGAGATAAGATTCTTTTGAGATAAGATTCTTTTTAATCAAAGTACACAAAAGTTGGCAATTTTTATATTTAAATTAGAAAGTTTCTAGCGTATCTTCATAGTTCATTTTCATATAACCTAATGAATGAACTGGATATTATGGATATTTTCTTGAGAAGACACTTGCCCAATAGTACGCACTTTTATTTTCATACACAATTAGTAAAATTAATTTTCTATAAAAATGAGCATATTACATTGATACTTGATCAACTTTTAGTTCAAACTATAAGGAATAACTTAAGCAGCATTTTACTGTTCAAACTTTCCTTATATAAGTTGTAGCATAAAACAAAAAATAAAATACTTTTGGGCGATCTTATCTAGCCTAAACTTTAAGTGTCATTTCTTGCTCACATCATGATCCAATATAGTGAATAAAGAGTCTTAAGACTTCTACTATTCAGCCAAGAACTGCATTGATGGTGACGACACAGAATCAGCGGCGATCTGATGAACCGTTCTTAGAAACGTGCGCCGAAAATAAATAATTAAGATAAATAATTAATTTTTATTAATAATAATAATAAATAATTTACAGATTTTAATATGTCATTCAACATTATTAAGAACGTTTCGAAGATGCATCGAATAAGCATCAAAATTTGTTTAATTGCTAGTCAATTTAACTCGTGATATTATTACTTATTATTGCGGTAATTTAGTAGAGTTAGTGTTTCAAGTGCGGTAGTTAATGTTTCAAGATCGAAAAATCATTTCGGCGCGCGTTTCTAAAAACTACATATGTAGTATATAAATTTACACAAGAATCATACAAGCATTTAAGATTCACCTAGACCAAGGCTTTGATTTCTATAGTTTGTATTATCACACACACGGAATTATATATATATAAAACACAATAGTTTGGTTATAAAATTAACAAAATAGTAGAGTGTATTGCAGAATATATGTATACAAATGTATGTACATACACATGTATACATATAACTTTATGTATACAGGGTATTTGGAAAATAATGATAAATCTTTTGCATATGGGCAGAATAGACTGAGAAGAAAAGTCCTCTATCAAATTTTGCAATTCTCGCAATAAACAAGTTATTAATTGCTAAAAATTACCAAAAATTTGTCTTTAATAATTTTTTGCTCGAATACGAATTCTTCTCATAGAACTCTACGAATTTTTTCAGAATTTTTTATCAACTTTTTAGTACTGCATTTTCTCATTTTTATCAGTAAAGAAAATACATATTAAGAAATTCTAAAAAAATTCTTAGAGTTCTGAAAAGAAAATTAACAATTGTTGTCTCTTGCAGTTTTTTTGTAAAGTTGATAGTATTTGAGTAAAAAGTTTTATTGAAGACCAATTTTCGTAAATTTTTAACAATCTTATCAACTATTGTATTACGAAAATTGCAAAATGGTAGAGTACTTTTCTTTTCAGTAGTTTATTCTGTCCCTGGCGGAAAAATTTATCATTATTTTCAAAATACTCTATATATAAGCAGCCTATAAAAATCTATAGTAACGTAAATTATAGATTAATATTAGAACTACAATTAGTTCAAGGAATAATTATTTTGAAATAAAAATCTCAAAAAAGAAGTCGTGAATAATCGATATGCATAAAGGACCATATTAGCAAAATGCCATGCTATTGTATAACTTAAAATATATACAGTCAAATAAAATGTTAAATAGCAAACAACACATTCAAATATACATATATTTATGTGATAACACGCTCAAATTTAAGAAAAATGAGAAAGTAGGTGTAATTAAATGTTAAAATGTACCTCAGAAACGTTTCAAAATACTTGAAAGTAAAAATGCCTTATAATAAAATAAAATAATATAAATATATGTTTAAAAGGTGTTTCTTTTTGTTTTAAACATGATTTTTTTCTGAAGCTATTTAAAACATGTATAAAATATTAAAAACATGTTTTAAACAAAAAAAACTGAATGTTTCATTTTTTTTTTGAAACACGTTTTTGATCAATCCTGCTTCCCTCACTCCGTCCGACGCACTGCCTCGTTCGCATTCTTCAACTTTCCAATGATTTTAAATTTTTTCGGCAATAAAAAATTTAAGAATTTTTCAACAGCGAATTTAATTTTTCCTTGATAAATTGATGCCAGACGGAATTCTTAATCTTAAAAACTACAGCCATAGTGATTTTTGAAAAAAAAATTGTTATCTCGGCTCCTAATAATTGGAGAGTAATCTTTTTTTTTTAAATTCGTAAATGTCAGATTTCGAATGCTTCACACGGCTATTTGATATGATGCATAGTAAAAATTATTTCGAACATGCGAAATTATTTCCATTTTTTTGAGGAAAGATTTTTTTTAAAGGTGTTTTATAAGTTCAACTGCAAAAAATCGTTTTGTTATTAAGTATACATGATAGTGCAATTTTTGAAGAAGAAAAATCCCTGTAAATTGCTGTGCGACTCAAAGAGGAAGAAATTAAGTTTTCCGCAGACAGGTTCCCAGTCAGAAATGATAATAGAATCGACATCGAATCGACAATTCGATCAATTCGATGTCGATTCCATTTGTTTGTAGTGATGGCTTTTTGCAAAAACTAATGAACATTTCAGGGCTAGATTTGTTCGTCATTACGAGGACTACATTTTACGAGAATTTCAAAGCTTTGCATTTAAATCTCAATAAATAGAGAGCGAGTGAAAAAAAAGTACTTTTTCATCAAAAGATGTTTATTTTTTTTCTACTAAACTAGTAGATTGATTTTAATGTTCCACGTTTCATTTTATAGTTATTTCGAGTACCTACATTTTTTTATACCGATTTTTTTTTCATATAATCAATATTTTTCGTTTTATAAGCGAAAAATGTGCTTTTTGCAATTATTCGATTTTTTTTCGCATATTTTCTTCACAAGTCTCGAATCTCGAACATATGCTTTTCTTTTCTGGCCTTTCGAGATTTTTGCGAAAAGAAATGCTGGTTTATAATTTTTTTCCTGTAAAATTCTACTTCTATTGAATTATTGCTATTCGAGTTTATGAAGAACGATATATTATATAATGTGCATGAAAAATCATAAACAATTAAATATCTCGTAAACTGTTGCGTTTTAATACAATTTATACTATTCTGGATTAATGAAAGATTTATACTATTATTTCAATTTATTAAAACTTATATATGTTATTTAGAATATGTTATTTAGAACGCCGCTCACCCTTTATTGATTGGGCCGCCGAGCGATCGAGATTGCCGAGAAAAAATTTTTGGTTGCTTGAAATAAGCTCTCACTAGTATGAGAAGGAGCTTACTGTTTCGTTCACTCTCGGCGTGCCGCAGGCGAACATACGGACGTAGGCTCGTGTTAAGTGTGTGATTTCGCCAGACCGCCGTTTGATTCTGTATTCCATCAACGTAGAGTTGGTTGAGTCACCGAGATATATTAAAGATCGTCAACTTCGACAAATTTTCGGCGGTATAAAACAGGCTCGGAGGAAAGTAATTGAAGAACATTATCGACAATTGATATAAATTTGTTATTATTAACATAAATATTTGGCTCATGCATTATTAAATTCATGATTTTTTATTATATAAATATTCCATAAATAAATGTGCGTACTTGTAAAGCTATAATATCCTTTATATTGCAGAAAAATTAAAATTTTTTCTCTGCAGTCATCTCTATTGACAATCAAACTTTGACAATAATACTGAAATCACAATTTTAAAGAAAAATCGAATTATTACTGAGTTCTAAATGCATAAATACATCTACTAAACTAATAAAATTAATACAATATTATCAGTTTTTAACTCTTAATTACTTGAATATTCTCAAGGAACTCTCGTAATGTCGGTCTTTAATATCTTGTCGAATCGTTAAGTAATTAGGGGCCTGTGATAACTATTAAATAGACATTCGCAGACAAATTGGGTAAAACTTCGTGGCGTTTTTCTCGCTAAATGGCATTAAATGCTCAGCAGTCGGCAACTACTAATCGCATCGGCAACACTAGACGTGCGTTTAAAAAGTGACATTTTAACCTTTGTTTTGAGCTGAAAAAGATTGAAATCGGTGAAGTGGATCAAAAGTTATTTTATTTTGAAAATGGAAATAAATAAGGAAAAAATTCGCTACATTTTGCAGTATCACTACGATAAAGGCAAAAATGCTGCACAGGCTTGTGAAAAAATTTGCGCTATTTATGGGGAAGATACTCTATCAAAATCAGCAGCACGGAAATGGTTCGCTTGCTTTCGTGCTGGAAATTTCGATGTGAAAGATGAACCTCGCTCCGGTCGACCAATCACTGAAAAGTCCGATGAAATCATGATAAAAGTCGAGCGTGATAAGCATGTGAGCACTGTGGAGATTGCCAGGGAACTAGGCATCGACCACAAAACAGTTTTAAATCATTTACACAAAGCTGGATACAAAAAGAAGCTCGATGTTTGGGTTCCTCACGAGTTGAGAGTTAGGAACATGATGGATCGAATTAACATTTGTGATACACTACTGAAACGGAATGAAATTGAGCCATTTCTGAAGAGAATGATAATTGGTAATGAAAAATGGATCACCTACGACAATCCAACTAGAAAAAGATCGTGGATAAAGAAAGGAGAAAAGGCGCAAGCAATTGCAAAACCTGGATTGACGAGGAAGAAGGTGATGTTATGTGTATAGTGGGAATCTGAAAGGGAATCGTTCACTATGAGCTGTTATCGTCCAATCAAACAATTAATTCCGAACTCTATTGTGAACAACTGCAGAGATTACAACAAGCAATTGAGAGGAAGCGGCCAGAATTAATCAATAGGAGAGGTATCGTCTTCCATCATGACAACGCTCGACCACACACATCTTTGATGACTCGGCAAAAATTGCGAGAGCTTGGCTGGGAAGTTTTAATGCATCCACCTTATAGTCCTGACATAACACCCTCAGACTATCATTTGTTTAAGTCTCTGCAGAACTCTCTTAATGGTGTAAAGCTTCAAAAGAGGCCTGTGAAAATCATTTGAAGCAGTTTTTCGATCAGAAACCACAGAAGTTCTATCGCGATGGAATTATGGCTCTGCCCCAAAAAAGGCAAAGTATTATAGAAAATAATGGAGCATATTTGGTTTAAATAAATTGATTTCAATACTCTAAGAAAAATACTTTAATTTTACTAAAAAATCGCCACGAACTTTTTCCCATACCCAATATTTAATTTTAATTGAGTAACGTTGATTTTTTTTCATGAAATCTAATGTTATTTATTACATTCTATGAAAGTGTTAAAGCAATCTTTATACAGAATGTCTGATAATTAAAATTCTTGCATAAGAGGCAAAATGGACTAAAATTTTCAAATTCGTCCAGCCAAATACAAGCGCGAGAGAGAGTGCCCAAAGAAATGCACGTTCTTTGCTAGACACGTTGTTTACAAGCGATATTGAAATTAACGTGTCTAGGGACAGCGATCGCACCTCATTAAGCAGTCTTATCTTGTGCGCGTACATTTGATGATAAGTCAGGCGAATTTACCTATTTTCATAAATTAATAACTCATTAACTAATGCAAAAAATTGAAAATGATAGAAGACTTTTTTTCTCACAAGAGAACACACCCAACGGTCCCTCTCTGATTTAAATGAACTTCTAGTATGTTGTTCTATGGGCAAAAATAGGAGATATGTATTTTTTTTATATCGGCTGATTCGCACCTTAAGTGGGTGGAAACCTACTTGAAAAAAATCGGTTTTTTTTCTTTCAAATTGAATATCGTCGAAACTGTAAGGGATAGAAAAAAATTTGCAGAATAAAAATTGAATGGCATTAAGTGTTATCATTCCACTTTTGGTTTTAGACAGAATAGATAAAGTCTCGTGAGAAAGAAATGACTAATTGGGATTTACTGATAAAAAGATCTTTATTTTGAATGTTCAGTGTGCGCTCTAGCCATGTCTCCTTTGCGCCATGCATCAGAAACAGAAACTAATCATAGAGATCGCGTAACATAGAGAAAAAACTTGTATCTTAAAAAAAACATAACCTATCCTATCTATAATCTATAATCGCAACGGTGAATCGAATTATCAATTAAATCACAACATTACGAATACTTTAGAACTACAATAAAAAAAATTTTTTTTTATAAATAAATAATTTTTATTATAAATAAATAATATTAAAAAAAAATATTTTTTATTATAATTCTAAAGTACTCAT